AAAAGATATTTGATTGTTGGTCGGGAGTAAAAGGAAAGACCATTTCATTTTTCAAAAAAAGTGAAGTCAGAGTTTTCAGGTATTGTGATGAACAAACCTTATTCACAGCTAATTCATAGCTTATTCGTAGCTAAAAAGCTATTTCAGAAAAACATTTCATACTTACTTGCTCACATTACTGCACGAAACAGCAAAACTTGATAACTGATACACTACGAAATTCACCAAATGAAAAATCTTTCTCACTGTCTCACAGCGAATGATTTTTTGACTGAGAAAATAAGCAAATAAACAAACAAACAATCTCAGAGTTTTAGAAGTATATAGATAACAATAACTTTATGTGTTTTCTTATTATCATTATTGTTTTCATTATAGGACATCATGAATCACTATGGCAACCTGAAGCTAGCTTTCTAATAATTTGACAAAAAATATATACTATAGCGTTTAAGTGAAAATGTCATCAAAAGCATTCATGTTTAATTTCTACTTTGTACATGTAATTTTCTTAATCTATTGCTTATTCAGTTCTTTGACCTCTTTTATACCATGATGTTACTACAGAATTTTTCAACAGATTGGCACAACTGTTATATGTAAAAAAAATGAAGTAGCATTTCTGTTGTATATAAGAGAAAGACTGCATTATACTGAAGAAGTTGGAAGTTGAATATTAATTATTTATTTATTTTTAGAATATTTTAGAATAGTTGTAAGTGCAATTTAACAGTTTATTAACTTAACGTTTAAAAGAAAGCGAGCGTAACACAATACAATCTTATCTTGGATTATTTTTCAATACCTTTTATGAAATTTTACACATATCGCCATTGAAGATGTGTGTGTGCTTATCAGGTGTGTTCTAAATATCATACATATTATTCAAGTACATTCTAAATATTATTGTATAATTGTGTTTAGATATTTAAGTCCAGGTTCATCGTATTTGTTGTTTACAAACCTTGTTATTTTAACCAAAAAGAACACTAACCCTAATAGCTTTCAACAAAACTTTGGAAATTTACTCACCTTGTACTGCTTTAGAACAAAAAAGGATGACAACAGCGAAAATGAGATTTTGTGAAAACATTATTTCCAGACACACGGATGGATAAACAGACTTTCAACTTTAAGTAACGGTCAAAGAGAAATGGCAGGCAAAGCTGCAGAGAGCAAACTGTGGCCACGTTCAACTCTCGGCATTTGTCGGCCTTCCCGAGACTCTAGGCTCAAGATGACTAGCGTAGTAAAATCTGTATTATCAATGTTTCAGAGGACATGATCTAACTTTTGATCTTAATTATTTTCCACCGTCAACCATGATAGAACCATCAAATTCAGTAATAGAGGCTAAATAACATCTTTATCAATGACTCTCCAATGATGGTATCAGTTTACAAGGTATAGTCTAAACTATATCTCCACCAGCCCCTGAAAATATAGTCCTTGACTTGGAGAGTGCTACCTCCGGTGGGGAAGAAAGAGTGACGGCACTGCTTGAGCTAAAGTGGCTACACAGCGCTCTCTATTGATCAATAGCTTAAGAAGTACATATCTTTACCGTAAGGTGGCGAAAGTTGGTGAAATTGCGTATTTGCCTATTGCTTTTTGAAAGGTTTCTAACAATTTTAGTGCAATGTTAGTTTTATATGAGAAACAATTACCGTTAAAATAAATATAAGTCATAGTTAACTTTCAATTTCTAGAGGTCTAAGATAAAATGTACGTTATGCAGTCTACATTTTGTAAATAACTAAATATTTCCCTTGCCCTCTATAAAACTAGAAAAAACAAAAACAAAATCAGGATTTTGGTGTCCACGAATACTATTCTAAGTTTTGAAATTATAACGCTAGTATACATTATAACACTTTCAGCCTGATCATATAAACAGACTTGATTTTCTTAGAATTTCCAAATAATCTGTATACTAAGTTTCAAAGTTATGTTTGTAGATAGAAATGCTATTATCTGAAGTTAATGATTTAGCCTTTAAAATTTATAACAGGTGTTCAAATATTACAAGGTATCAAACAAATTCGTAAAATATTTGAGAAAATAAAGGTATTCCTCCTTATTGTCCATGGTTCAAAGGGAATTCTATTTTGAACGAATGTTCAGTATTAAAATATTTAGAATTCCCATTTTCCACGAGACTTTGAACTTTCTAATGTTGAGGTAAGTTTATGTTGTTATTAAATGGAAAATTTTACAGCCGGACTCTGATCCACGCTTACAATTTATGTAATTGGTAGAACATTTTATTATATATACATACTTAAGTACCAACCTAGATATAATTTTAAATAAAATATTAATGTAATCAAAATATTTCGATTCAATGAAATTTAATCTTAATTTAAGCTTCTTGCGCATGTTTCAGAAAGACAGTGTGGTATATACTGTCTTTCTGAAACATGCGCAAGACAGTGTGGTATATACAGAAGGAATCGTAAATTATGTCTAACCAAATTAAGAACGCATCCACCAAATTGTTTACTGGGATCATCAAACTTATAAGACCCATATAGCATCCCAACTTTCAAACACTGTTTTTCTACTGTCTCTGTAAAAGAGAAGACGCTATCAATTTAAACATTTTATTTATTTGTGGGCTGACCTGTCAAGTAGCTCTAACGGTGGTTGTTCCTTTTATTTGTAGCTATACAAAAGTAATTAAGTATATAAAGTGAGGTTAATGAAAGGAACGATACATGAATATATACACACACACATATATATATATACATCTGTGTAGTTTGAATAAACCAATACGAATTCACAACAAAATATCCAGAATAAACCACATTCATAAATCAAGACAAACACTGTTTTTCAAAATTTTAAAAATGAAAAGTTACACACTTTTAACTATCTTACGGAAGGCTATTCTGTTATAAAAACTATCTATTGAATGAATAATTTGTGTATATGATAAGAAGGTGATAAACTGTTTTTTCAATAGATCTTGCATGCCATACAGTAAAAACACACATTTTAACCAATGTAAATAATATATGTCCAATGCTTTTGCTTTCCCATTCAAATGCAGTTTTAAAATATACTGCCTCTCGTAGAATAACAAAAATTAAAAGTAGACTACAAGAACTTTTTAGAATACCAGTATTAAATATAAAATGTGCTAGCAATAATTAATGCGATTAATAGAACACGAAACAATTTTGATCAGCACTAAAATTATCAGTTAATTTTCTTTAATAAGAAATCAGACACAATTTTTGGTATTTAAAAGTTTCAGTGTTTTTATTTCTCTTTGTCCTATGAGACAACTATTTTTGGTATTTAGATGTATTATTTTTAATTTCTTTTTGTCCTATGAGACAAATATTTTTTTATATTTACATGCTTTATTTTTATTTCTCTTTGTCCTAAGAGACAACTATTTTTGGTATTTAGATGTTATATTTTTATTTCTCTTTGTCCTATGAGACAAATATTATTTTGATATAAACATGCTTTATTTTTATTTCTCTTTGTCTTATGAGACAACTATTTTTGGTATTTAGATGTTTTATTTTTATTTCTTTTTGTCCTATGACACAAATATTTTTTGATATTTACGTATTTTATTTTTATTTCTCTTTGTTCTATGAGAAAACTATTTTTGGTATTTACATGTTTTACTTTTTTATTTCTCTTTGTCTTATGAGACAAATATTTTTTGGTATTTACATGTTCTATTTTTTTTATTTCTCTTTGTCCTATGAGACAAATATTTTTTTGATATTTACTAATTTTATTTTTATTTCTTTTTGTCCTATGAGAAAACTATTTTTGGTATTTACATGTTTTACTTTTTTATTTCTCTTTGTCTTATGAGACAAATATTTTTTGGTATTTACATTTTTTATTTCTCTTTGTCCTATGAGACAACTATTTTTGGTACTTACATGTTTTACTTTTTTATTTCTCATTGTCCTATGAGACAAATATTTTTTTGATATTTACATGTTTTACTTTTTTATTTCTCATTATCCTACGAGACAAATATTTTTTAGTATTTACATGCTTATCTGTGTGATGTGATATTTACCTTTACTTTACAGTGTTGCTAATGCAATTTTTTACTAATCAGTTCTGGATATTGAATTCAATATGTGTGTTTAGCATATCCTGTGTACATTTTAAATTTATATAATATGTTTTATTAGGATTTGTTTTTGACTGTTTGGATTAAAACCGAAGCAAATCGATTAAACATGCACAATGAAAGCATATTTACCAACAAAAAGTGCAAATACTTTAGGTTTCTATCTTGAGTTATTGTGTACCGATACATAGGTTCATGTTCTTAATAATAAAAAAGTGAAGCAATATTTGTGTTGGTTACGCTCATCTAGGATTCGTCAAGCAAAAGCTAGAGTAGTATATGTATATATATATATATATATATGTACTATTAACATGCTCTTTTCTAGAGTCTGTAAATAAAAGAGTCTCTCTGAGAGTGATTATTACTTGAACACGTGTGTTACCATGGGAACCGCACCATAATCTTTCATAAAACTCTGTATAAGGGGAATCAGCTGTATTAAACATTGATCGAGAAGAGATGAGTGGCTGCATAAGTTTTTCCATGTACTTCTCTGTATCACATACTCATAACACTCCTTGCATGGAATGGGAACTACAGCAAATGCTTACAACACTATGTACGTATCTACTCCATTAATCAATGGTATGGTTTTAATTATACAAGTTTTATATTTTTTCTCGACTACTAGAAACTGCTCACCCACGATCATGTAACAAATGTTAATACAAATAGACATTTTAAAAGATAATTCTCAGTTATATTCTGAGAAACTGTAAGATAACTTACTTTTAAATGGGAAAAAACAACACGTGCTTCTGGTTTCTATTTCAATTATTTGCACATATATAATTTGCTTTATTTTACTGTTGAAGTAATTCATATTCCACTTGTAAAATTAAGTTAATATTGAATGTTTGAAATATTTATTTAAATCATAACCATGTTACTATCGCAGTCAAAATGAAATAAGTACACCCAACAAAGTACAAGGCGTTTTGAAAGTAGATAAACTTTTCTTGCTATCACGGAATGGTGTTTATGGATTTGAAAATCCATAAACAGGAGGCCTCGACCTCGTCATTTGTATTAAATATCCTAGAATCGATGAATTAATATCGCTCCTTTTAATTAATAATTACTTGGTAGATGAACTATGTTAATTGAACACGAGGTCAACCAATATGCACAAAGCTGTGGGACTTTGATTAAATGAAGCAAAAATGTTAACTAGCGCTGAAGAAACTGATCTAATAACTTACATTAACCATGATTGAGCCTATTCCTGATAGGTTATCTTACATAATTTAACAAAAAAGGTTGTAAACGATTTTCATCATCAAAATAATGTCTTAATTAAACGTTCGACACAAGTTATAACCATCGTCTATTGAACAGTTTCATGTAAACAAATCTAGTGCATTTGTAGCTCATTGAAAGATGGTTTTAGAATAGCGAATAAAAGTATTAGCTTAAACCATAACTTGAGTACATAAAGTAGTTGCATTTTAACAATAACTTGCTCCCCCCCCCCAATGGGACAGCGAAATGTCTGTGGACTTACAACGCTAGAAATCGGGTTTCGATACCAGTGGTGGGCAGAGCACAGACAGCCCTTTGTGTAGCTTTGTACTTAACTTCAAACAAATAAACAATAACATATATATACGTATTACCATGTGTTTTACAAAGCATGTTATATATAAAGCAAAACCAAAATATTTAAAACCGAGATTTAAGACAGATTTTGAAGATAGTTTTCATAAAAATATTAAAATGTGTTTAGCAAAATCTGAATTTTAATCCGTACAGAATTTTAAAAATTAATCCATTATTGTGGCAGTAACATATAGGTAAAACAAGGTAATTACAACTTGTACCATTTATCAAGAAAAGCTATATATATTTTTTCCATATTTCTTCTTTAACTTAAAATTGTCACAATTCATTCAACTTCTCAAATCTTGCCAAATTCTAATTTCTAAACTGGAAATCAGTGATACTTGTTATTTTGATAACGTATATTTCACATTTTTAAAAGAAAAATAAACAATACTGAATGAAAAAATAAAGATTTTAAAAGATTCTCGTTAACTTCCTTTTTAACACGATTTCATAAAAAATAATCTGTCTTCTTCATGACACATTTGTTCATTGCTCATTTCTGTATTTGGAAAAAAAGAAATCTTGCTACTTTAGAACTTAGTGTATAATAGTATGAAATACTTGAAGTATTCTTTGTTGACAAGTAATCGATTTGTGAAAAGTATGAATCAGAATTAAATTAGAATATAGAAATGAAGATTTTAGATAAATCTACAATTTCTTCATGAAGAACAATATAAATATCTCGATATTTTGTTTTTATAAGCAAAGTATAATAAGCACAATAGCTTTCAGATCTGATAGACTTAAGTAT